AAATGTAAAATTACAATAAACAGATAATAAAATAAACATAATTGTTATAAAAAAGTAATATATGCTCCGCTATATGATTATGTCTGTTTACTTTATTGAATGCTATATATATAGCTGAATGAGATATATACATATATACACATTTGTTAGTATTCACATTGTAAGTATTCATCTATTTATTAATTCTTATCTATTTTATATGTTTGCTCAAGAATTACATGGAAATAATTGATTACATACATAAAAATATATATGCGGCCTTTCATTTTTTTTGTTATAAAATTATTTAGAAAAGTCAAAAAATATGACATTTATTGCCTCATTAAATATATCTGTTATTAAGTATTCTTTCACTTAATAACTATAAAATAAAACTTATAAAGCTATATTATTTTTACAATAACATTTAATTGCATAAAAAGTGGTTATTATATAATTTAAATACAGTTCATTAATATTTAAAAATTTTAAATATCTTTCCACACATTTTTCTTTCCAATTTTTAATTTTTAATTTTAATGAATTATGTTAAGAATGCACATTTTGCGAAGAAATAATAAACACGCAATCTTAAATTATATATTATGAGATATTTCAAGAGTTATGATTTAATTAGATTTTGATTAAATTATAATGCAAAAATGTTAATATGCTCAAGCAGATCATAATAGTATTTCAATTTTACCATCCTTAGCTTATTATTAGCTTGATAGGATACATACTGTAGTAGCAAGGTGTTAGATCAATCAGTCCTTTTTTCAGACAGGTCTTCATCCCGCGGCAATAGCATTTGTTGTCCGGATTTTGATCTGGCGGATCAGCAAAATCATCTGTGAGAGTGTAAAGATATCCTGGAATGCCATCTTTCGATGTAACTTCTTTCCTGTACATAATCGGTAGCGCTCGACAAAACGCTTTCCTGAATATTCTGAAAATGGCACGCTTATCTATGTTGGATGGGAATATGATACCTTCTGTGGCTCCTTGAAGTGTGTTGCAAATTGAATTTCTAAAATGATAAAAAAATGAATTTTTCATCAAATAATAGAAAACATATATAAGTATTAAGTAATTGTTAAATTAACAAGTTAAGAAAAATTAATTTACGTAATTTTTCAATTTTACTATAAAAAATATGAAAGAGGATTATACGAATATATTATGAAATATGCAGTAGCTTTTATCGAATATATCGACATTCTAATACTTCGTGGAATAATATTTGTGAATCTTTACGGTCTCACTAATGCATACAAATACAAGAGTGGGATAATATTTGTGAATCTTTACGGTCTTACTCTTGTATTTGTATGCATTAGTGAGACCGTAAAGATTCACAAATATTATCCCACGAAGTATTAGAATGTCGATATATTCGATAAAAGCTACTGCATATTCTCATAATATATTATTCGTATAATCTTCTCTTTGATATTTTTTATAGTAAAATTGAAAAATTACGTAAATTAATTCTTCTTAACTTATTTATATTTGTACAATCTAAGACGTCTTAATGTAACACGTTGTTTGATTTTTAATAAAAGTCTCCGTGGATTTTTATATTCGTGGAAATGTTATTTAGCACCTTTGAACAGAGAATAATACGGAATTGTTTTTGTTTTATATTCTATTTTTGTACATATATAACTCATTTGTAACACAATGTAAAACTTTACATTGATGAGATAAAACATTCAAGAAAATTTGCTGTTATCTGTCTAAAGAAAATAATTTTTCCGCAGAATTATTAAAAATACGTTTTACCCTTCTTGAGTCTCATTGCCTTCTGTTTCAATATATCCCCATTTTGCTAATCCAGGACTACCATTGAACTTATCAATGCTGAGATATCGTCCTTTCTCATTCCTCATATCAGCATTTTTTTGCGTAATTATCGTCACGATATTTTCCCCTTCGTCATACATCTAAATGCAACAGAAAAATACATATGCATATTTTATATGTAAATTTATATACTAAAATTTTTTATTTAATACAAGTTTTATTTATATTTAAAAGCCAGAATACACACAAAAAGAACATCTATTATTTTTAGAATTAATTTAATCTATCTGTATTTTGATCAATATTTAAAAAATTATTTATTTGATTCTGCAACGTTGAACATGTAATATTATAATGAGATAAGAAGAAAAAGCATACTACGCTTCATATATTTCAAAATTATATCTTAATATAAAACAAAAATTAAATATTATAATGTTTAAAAAGTAAAAATCAAGTTTGAATAAATAATTTTGAGTTTGTTTAATGATTACTTTAATTAAATATTATCATATAGATTATAAAATAATTTTCGCTATAATCGATACACCGACATCTGAGGTTCTTATAGCCAGTTTATTTTCATGTATATAGATTATATAAATTTTTGTAATTTTTAAATTATTATTTATTACTAATGACTATTCTCTACAGCATACTTTTTTATTTACAAAGAAATTGAGTATTAAACTAAATTAACTGATTATAAAATATAACACACACATAATTAGTTAATATTATATTATTATAATATATTTATAATGTGTGTTTTAAATTTCCATAATTAATATTAAAGATATGTATGTAATACATATGTATTAAATATTTAAAATTGGCAGATTATTAAATCTCACGCATATGTCTTGAATTTAAATTAAGACATAAGTAGCAAAGCAATTAAATAATTATGTAGATATAACAGATTATTATTTACAAATTATTTAAAATTTTTTAACTATTTCTACAAATGTTTTATTACTATCATCAAATTATTTTATCAATAATATTTTTTTATATCAACGAGATATCACTTATTGATTATTAAATGTTGAATCTAATTCTCTTTATCTTCAACAATTATTAAATAAAATAATTTCTTTTGATATATAACTGTTTCTTTATCATATTGCTTATCACATAATTATTTTCAAAATTAATAAATTATTATAAAATAATGAGATCAAAAATAAAATAATTTCTAAAGCAGTAAAACACTATAATGGAAATTTTAACATAAAATTATAAACATAAAGATATGAATGCAAAAATATGATGACAGTATATGTGTGTCCTTTATGTCAAATTTTTAATATATATTATATTATCAAAGCAATTTATAAATCTTTCTCTTTTGTTATTTAGTATTATAAGATATATAATATATGTTATAATATATATATATACACACACACATTAAAGTTCTTTAATAATATGTCCAAATTATACAGCATATTCCGATTGTATTCTGTAATCAATTTATGTGTATGTGTTCTGTAATCAATTTATATGTGTATGTGTAAAAAATTCTGTACTCATAAATAGGCAATAATGCCTTTAAACGTTTAATGCACTATTTGAATTATTGATGCAAGAGAAAGGTGCGTCCGGAAATCATGTCCCTTGAGACCGTATAGTGCTAAAAGTCGTTAACACTAACCTCATGAACCCTGAAACGAGCGGGTATAAATAGTGAAAGGATCAGTAACTCGCAAGAATTGCGAAAAGCGACAGCAGTTCAACATTCGAATGTACGACACTATTTTATTTGCATTGTTATATAATTTCAATCAGGGTTTAAATTATGGAATTATATTTATTATATTTAATCTATAAAAAATAATATAAATTTTTAAGAAATTTTTGTAAAATATCTCTTCTTTATATTGTAACTTTTATAAAATACGTTGTTTGTAAAACAATAAATAAAGATGTACGTTATAAAATGTATTACTAAATTTCAACAAAGAAAAATAATTAAAATAATAAAGATATATACCAATGTTAGATATAAGTATTGTAAGAAGAAATCAAATAATTTCAAATAATAGTTCTGAATTTTGAATAAATAATATTGTGTTTTAAAATTGATATCTAATTCAAAAATTACAAAGAATATGAATAATAACATACAAATTTATTGAAATTTTGACCTAACTGGCCAGTACAATTTAATTAGAAACACTACGTTTCGATCCTTAGGTACGGGTCCTTTTCAAGTGTAACTGCACAATAAAATTATACAATGATTAAGATATGAAACAATAATTTACAAAGTTGTTAAAGATAAGATCAACCATATGAAAAAAACTGACGTTGTGTATCTGATAGAAGATTTTTAGCAAAAATCAAATAAAATATGACCATGATTTTAAGTGGATGGAACCTAGGATTTTGCATTGCGAAAAACATAGAAGGAAGAGAGAATTAGCGGAGATGTTTTTTATTAAAAAATAACATTAATTTGCAAAAGGACACAGAAAATCTAAATCCGATTTATGATAAGTTGATCCACAGTATATGATTATCTATTTATTTATTTATTTATTTCGTTGTATTGTCGAACTTTGATATTATTGTGTTTTTAACGTTTGACTTAAATTGATTTACTGTCTCCGGTTTAACATTAATAATTTTACTGCTGTCGAATCAACATCTTGAAAAGTACATTACATTATTTTCATATTATTTTAAATTTCTTTGTTAACAACTTTGTAAATTATTGTTTCATATCTTAATCATTGTATAATTTTATTGTGCAGTTACACTTGAAAAGGACCCGTATCTAAGGATCGAAACGTAGTGTTTCTAATTAAATTGTACAGTTAGGTAGAAATTTCAATAAATTTGTATGGTTTTACTCATCACTGGCGACTTCATTAATTTTATCGTTATTTAATATGAATAATATTTTAATTAAGTTAATATATATATATATATATATATATATATATATATAATTATTTGCTAATCGTATAAAACAAAATGCATATGCTTACGTCAGCACAGGCACGCGTCATAATACATACAATTATTTGCTAATCGTTTGTATAATATAAAACGATATGCATATATTTACGTCAGCACATGCATGCGTAGATTTTAAACTGTCTGAAAGTAAAAATTTTATTTAATTACATGAGCAAGCATCAATTTCGAACAATTCAACTCAACATTTCTGTGACCTGAATATATCTCGTTTTGGAAACAAAAAAGTCCTTAAAAAAAGTTATCTTTATACGATCACGTTTCTTAAAGATCAACTCGTGCACTGAAAAACCGGTTTCTTTTCATGTCCCAAAGTCTGGTTCTTTTTTCCGATCTTTGACGAATAAGAACAATTATGGATGATTTATTTTAATAGCCGCAGTATAGCACTGACAATTAAAAAAAATTATAGCTTTTTTCTTCACTTTTTTATTGCGTCAGAAACGATCGAATTATTGCAATGACGAAATAGATGTATCTGTTTAAAACATGCAATAAATGCAGCAAATGTCTAAAATCATATAGTTACTATAATAAAACGAAAAGATTCTGATATTTATTGTAAATATATAAATTTAAGTAAAAAAATGAGTTAATAAGAACCAGAAACAGAAATTAGGCGCAATAAATTTTTTTAAAATCTTCTTTATTTAATTTAAATATTTTAAAAATGGTAATAATTTCGTCAACCATATCTGGCTATAATTACTATTTATTAAGCTTCACGACGTTTCGGCCATGGGTTTCGGCCCTTATCAAGTTAGTTCGTAACACATTATCATGACAGTACATCACGTCATGACCTAAGATCAAACAAGTAGTGTTATTACAATAATGCGGTATTAAGTAGCACTTGATAAGGGCCGAAACCCATGGCCGAAACGTCGTGAAGCTTAATAAATAGTAATTATAGCCAGATATGGTTGACGAAATTATTACCATTTTTAACTATTGACTGGTGACTTCTTAGTTCTTTATATATATAATTGAATATTTTAATCTTTCCTTTAAACTATCTTTAACAGATCGATTAATAAAAATATTTTTTTTACTAATTGTAAGTCCTTAAAACGATCGAAGATCAGATGACTACAAGGAACAAAAACATACGTCTTCATGACCTTTGCTTGTTTTGTTGAGGTATGGTTATTGCTGAGGTCATGAGCGTCATGACATACGTGTTTTACATTATCTCATCTTCGATCACTTTGAAGGCTAATCAAAGACGTAAGACCAGGATGTCGGTTTGAATTAAGAAACATGAATTTGTTTGTTAATCAATCTACTGAAGATGATTCAAAGGAAGAACCGTGCAAATTAAATAAAGAAAAATTTAAAACAACGTTCGTTGCGTCTGATTTCTGCGTTTGACTCTTATTCTAACTCGTTTTCCTATTTGAATTTATATTTATATTTTTAAATATAAATAGTAGGATAAACATATAATATCGAAATAATATATTGCTTGATAATTAAAATAGCTAATTAAAATTATTGCAACTAATTAAAATATTTTTTTACATAGATTTTATCATGACATTTTTATCATTATCATATTTCATCAATTACTTTTAAGCTATATCTTCAAGCAAGAATAAGAATCGAATTCACTGAATATTCATATAAATATTCAAATTGTTCAAATAGTAATAAGAAAATTAAAGATAATTTTATTAGTCGCAGATTTAACTCATTAATCTTGTATAAATATTTAGATGAAATTCTGCTATATGTGACGCATTTAGTTTTTTACAAATATGTACATTAAAATATATTTACCAATAGCCCAAAGAAATAGTTTTACATAACTAAAACATGTGTTCAGCTAACAAGTACACAGTGTCCCAGCAAGATAAATTTTTTTAATGCGATGAATTAACATCGATTCGACGACGAATTGACGTCATCATTCTCGCTGGGATGGATACGGTCAGAATTGGCAAAAAATGACTCCCCAGTGAGAAATGATTGGTCGAATCGTCATCGATTCGACATCGATTCGATGAATTTGACATCGATTTGACAACGAATCGACGTCGATTCGACCATCATTTCTCACTGGGTCCATAATCATTAATTGTGTTTACATATGGCATACATGATTAGAGTTTAATCAATATTTTTTTATAGTGCTACCTGTATGAAAAAAAAAAAACTACAAAAATGCGAAAAAATTACTGATATAATAATCTTCAATAATATATTATTGGTATACCAGTAATTTTTTCATATTCTTGTAGTTTCTTTTCGTAAGGGTACGCATTTCAATATCATATTTGTTAATATAAATATGTTGATTTATATTTACCCGGTCTAGAAGTCCTAACTTTTGAAAGTTAATGAAGTTTGGCAAGATTCCACTGGCCAATGTTATTAATAAATCGTCATAACCCACAAATAATCATACACCGAGATATTCAGGAATGGTTTTGCATCCATCATGTTTGCCAGCTGTACGAAAGGAAAGTTCACTAAAAATCCGGCATCATGCAAAGCGGATGAGGCACCCTGCGACAGAAGAAATCATAATACATACCGACAATACTAATCATAAATGCATTATAATCAGTAAGTAATTGTAAACATTTTATTTTAATAAGACTAAATTATTATTTTCAATCCCCTAAAGCATAATTGTACAAAAAAAATGTTGAGGCTATTGCCAATGTATATTAATTTATGCATAAAATGCATATCACGCACTATATATATACATTGTATATACAATTACAGAGTTATGAAGAATTGCAGTTATCAAGAGAGATTAAATTAATATAATGACGACAGTTTCGTAATTTTTTTATTAAAGCAAGCTATCAGCAAAAAAAATGACCAGTGACCCTAATACTCACGTTTAAAAATTAATTGGAAAATTTGTAATACAGATCAATTAAAGATATTTGTAATACAGATCACAATTAAAGATTTTATAAAATAATTTAATAAAATTAAAATTACTTACTCGTAATAGTTAAAAGTTGATTTCTTTATTGATTATCTTACCGTGGCTTATAAAGGAATTATTATAATAATATTAATATATTACTTGATTAATAAACTTGATAATAATGTAGATTTTTTTGCAAACTAAAGATTAACTTTTCCATGCACTGACTTGTATAATAGTGCAAATTAGTTTTACATTATAAAATATTATATAATATACTTTTAAAGCAAAACATTTTTTTTAACTTTATATAGAAATATCTTAATACAAAAAATTTATCTTGTATACTTTTTTAATAATATGTATACTATAATCATATATACTATAAATGCATAAATCTTAAAATATTTTAATTTAGATATATATAAGAAATTAATATTTAAATTAAACCTAAATTAAATTAATTAATATGATATATATTATATTTAATTAATATAATATATATTATATATTATATTAATTAAATGTTCTCTAATGTTTTTCAAATCCATGAAAAATAATAAGAATGTGAGTTTAACAATGTGAATTTTATATCTTCTTATTACATATGTTACTATATATTATATATTACTATATATTATTATATATTAAGTAACTACGCTTTTAACTATTTAAAAGCATAAAAAAATTTATTTTAAATTTAATATCATAAATTAAAAAGTTTCTTTGTCGGAATAATTTAGTACTAATGTAATAAATTCTATAATTTATTACACTTACCAAATAAATTAAATTTGGGACATTAACTATGTCGTTTTCAGGATTGTTGATTGACATTTCGGGTACGTAAACTATTCTTCTTCTCGGGATGTAAGTCATAGTGCCATTATCATTAAATGTAATGTTATCGTGTTCGAGGAATTCTCTGCATCAAATATTTGTAATATACTCGTTGTTCTCTAAGAATTATTTATAAAAAGTATTTTATATATATATATATGTCTATATGTATATATACATATGTATGTGTGTACGTATACATATGTATGTATATGTACATATATGTATATATAATATATTCATAATAATATTTATAATTTTCATATACATATGTATATAAATAATATTTTATGATAGTAAAAGAAATAATTATGAGAGATACTTACTGATAAACATATGGTCCAATCTCTTGGACTTTGAGCTTCTCCTTGCCGCTTAGAAACTCTACTGGATTAGTAATGTTAAATATGTACAGATTTAAATAAACAGCAAGAGGTGGTTTCTTCCACATGGAGAAGAGCAAAGAGTGCGGTGTCATTTGTAAATTCTATATATAAAAATAATATATTAATATTAATTATTTTACTGTAAACATATTTTATCGAAATATTACTTTGTAATTTAAATATAATTTAATATCTACAAAAACAGTTTACAAATTCATCGACATATATTATACATTCAAACGCATTTATAATAAGTTATTATTACATTATACATATATGTATAATATTATCCCAGGTAGCAAGTATAGAAAGTTGAATGACGTCATTAAACGTCATTTTGACATCGAATGACGTTAGTTTGCTAATTGTATGTAGCCTTTAAAAATGTTTTCATATTTTTGAAAAAAATTACTTTTAATTTATAAAACTTAAAAATTATTTTTGTATTTATATATATCTATATTATATTTTAATACTTATTTTAATATTTTGCAATACAATATATTTTTAATAATTTATTTTTATCCTAATTTTGAAAATAAATTGATAATTATGCGAAATATTATAAAATTACATATAAATGTAATATAGAGTTTCATTATTAAACAATTTTATGTAAAAGCTAAAGTTAAGTTTAGCTTTTTAAAATGTGCTTTTAATAATAAAAACTTCAACATTGAAGACTTTATTCATACAGTCGGCATTGAAATTTCCAATGTATGTTATCGATTATCTAATTGAAGTACATACATAATTACATACGTGTACATAGCTTTATAATTAAAAACAATTAATTTTAAAGTTAATATTTGTTATAAAAAAAGAATAACATCTCAAAATTAATAATAATAATAATAATATTATTATTATTAAATTTATTGTTATTAATATGTATAACATATTAATATATTAATATATTTAATAATAATAATAATAATATTTTATAATTATTTTAATAATTATTAAATTAATTATTAAAATAATTAAAATTTAATAACTTTATAAAAATTTAAAACTATTATAATTTATTTTTATTAAATTATTGTTTTCTATTCTTAAATATTAATATAATTGATATAATATTTTAATATAAGAATTTAAAGAAAGAAAAATTTTTATTTAATTAAAATATATAAATCACTTTAATCGCGTTTTTCCGTATTTAGGACTTTTACTTTACACAATTTTTAATATTTGCATCTTCCAATAATTACATATATATACTTACATAATCTATTAACAGCTTTATGGGATCCACAGTATAAATTATGTAAGTTAAAGAACTACATAGAATGCCCACCGTAAATAAAATGATACATTCTGAAAAGAAAAATATTTTGTTTTAACAACATCGAATAGCAGATGTCATTATCAGTAACTTAGAATTAATACGTTGTTCTTATCAACGCATATTCGTTGAATATAATAAGTTAATTGATTTTTCATTTCTTTCTATAAACTAAAATTTTTATTATTAATTTTTATTATTAATTAAATATTTGATTAATTATATTAGAATAATGTTTGTGTGTGTTGCATTTTTTTCACTTTTCTATTATTAATAATAATAATCAAAAATTATTTATTATCAACTCCTATTTATTTTTAGGAAATTTATAATGAAAATATTTTAGACTATTATATTATTTATAGTAGCAAAACAATGACCATTATATTAAATATTTACAATATAAAAATATGAGGCAACGCCGTTAATATAAATCGAAATAAATAATAATTTTTGTTGAAAAAAGAATTATATTTAAAAATGATTTTAATTTATATTGATAATATTTTTCTTATTTTATTTGAATTAAAAAGAAATAAAAAATAGGTAAATCAAATAATCGACGAATAATTAAAAATAATTAAGATTTTTTGGTTTGAAAACATTGCGATTACAAAATAATATGACCATGCCAAACGAAAGCAAAATGACATTATTCGATTTTATCGTTCAATATTTATACTTCATATTTATGTATTTTTTCCAATAAGATTAATTTTGCAGATTTATGTTATTGTAAAAACTGCCTCATTGCATTAGTTATATAATGATATGTCGTTATGATAACCTATTAACTTTTTGTATATACGTTTACAACATATTTCTTAACATTGTATCACTATAACTGCGCATTAAATTACGAAAGTAAAATGAAACAAATAAATATATTTAGCACGTACAAAATATGATAAAATTGTGTTATTTATAAAAGTAATTCAGGATTTATATATTGTTCTATTAGTTTATCGATCAAATAACTCGAAACACTGAGCATATTAAGTTTTATAGATATACATGTATGTAGCAATTGTAAACATTCAAATTAAGATGTATTGTACAATTTATTTTCAGTATACAAGCCGACAAATACGAAACTTTTTGAATATCTTCAATGAATCTTTATTTACCACTTGACACTTCAATACATGTTAAAAAGTAATGTCTTTCGGCACGTATATTTGCCATTCACCTTCGATTTCGCCCACTCTCGGAATTTGGTTCGGCACCGTCACTTACGGATCGTTATGTATATAAGACTCGTTAAATACACGCAATGATCCTTTCGCGTTTGGCTGCCGGTTGTCAAGGTAGCACTCAACATCCGGGCCGCACTAGTGAAAAATCCCTTTAAGTGGATTCTTGAAATGCCGAAAGATAGAGAAAGGAGCGTATAGAAATTTGCTTCTAAGATATTAGACAAACATCGCTTATTTCTTTTGGCAATAACATAAAAAGTTAGAATGGATGCATTATTTTATACTTTTTTATAACAAAGTATTTAATTTTACAACAATAAATTACAATACTTTTTTTACTTTAAAAACTTTATTAAATTCTTATAAGTATCAATGTTAAAATTTTTGCTAGAAAAAATAAATTTAAAAAGTAAAATTTTTAATTTTTAATTTTAACACATTATTTTAAAATTTTTAAATCTTGACAAACATATTAATAAATTTAAAAATTGTGTGTAAAATTTTTTAAAAGATATAAACATTTCTGAAAACTTTTCATTATTAGTCTATGTTTAAGTACATAATTTGTATTAAAATAATTGAAAAAATTATATTTATTATTATGTTTATGCATAAACATTAAATATATTATCAGAAAAACAAGATGTTATACATATATCTTTCCCAGCGAGAAATGATGGTCGAATCGATTCATTCAAAATAACTGAATCGACATTGATTTGACGTCGATTCGACCATCATTTCTTGCTGAATTATCAAGTATGTGCTGATTCTCCATTTGTAAGATTATATATATATATATATATATATATATATATATATATATATATAAGTATATTATTGCGTTATTCTTATCTTTCTAGGAATTATTTTTAACATTTTAAAGATATGTCTAATTTACACTTTAAAAACCAACATAATATTAATATATTTGTTAAATCTTGAAATGTTATTGATATCAAATTGTCATTCTTACATCTTTTTCATTTAAAGAATTATTGTAAAAAAAACTAAACAAAATTAAAACTTCTTAAAATTCATGAAACTTTCTAAGGACCCCGCACATTTCTTATGGAAATTGGCTTTTAGTCGAATTGCTTGAAATTGAAATATGTTGTAGTTCTGAGGTCCCTGATGAAAAGTCTCCATAGGCACAACCGAATCCTATGGCTACTTTCAGAGATGTGGGCGGTCAAAGTATCCTCCGCCGTGCACTACATACGCGTCATTGTCGATTCTTTAGGGCTTTATTTCTATTATATATGAGTTAAATAGTTACAATAACAATAATTGTAATAAATATTATAATAATTATAATAAATATAATTATAATTATAATTAAAATTATAACTATAATTAAAGGACATCGTACGTTTCTTATGGAAAAATTGGCTCTCAGTCGAAATGTTGCTCAGTTGCTTGAAATTGAAATATGTTGTAGGTGATAGTATCCTGAATAAATGTTCTTATGGGTGCAACTTCTAAAAATGGGCAGTTTACGAGCTAGAACCTGCTTAATCCACCACTTTGTAATTAAATAAGATAAATGTAAAACATATGAATGCGTACGTTTGTAGGCTATTTCAAGTAATATAATAAGTATGCACTCTCTTACACTTCCTCCAAGTCACAGTTATTCCCTCTCAAGCCACCCAAAGAGATCACATACCCAAAACGTCCACGTCGTTGATCCTGGATAACGCAAATCTTGGGTAAAGTATGATAAAGTGCAAGATAATATTATTTAATTATTTTATGGAAAATATTCTTACACGCACACACTTAAACAGTAATATACTCTGCATTCAAATGTACACACGCACGCATGCGCACGCGCACGCGCATACATACACAATTTTTCCATAAGAAACGTACGATGTCCTTTAATTATAGTTATAATTTAATTATAATTATAATTATATTTATTATAATTATAATATTTATTACAATTATTGTTATTGTAACTATTTAACTCATATATAATAGAAATAAAGCCCTAAAGAATCGACAATGACGCGTATGTAGTGCACGGCGGAGGATACTTTGACCGCCCACATCTCTGAAACTAGCCATAGGATTCGGTTGTGCCTATGGAGACTTTTCATCAGGACCTCAGAACTACAACATATTTCAATTTCAAGCAATTCGACTAAAAGCCAATTTCCATAAGAAATGTGCGGGGTCCTTTGTCAAAAAATATTTTTTTCTACGGAAATAAAATTTTTTAAACGGTTAATTGTACTAAATAAAAATATTATGTTCTTAATTCTTAAATATATTTTATGCCTCAAAAGAATTGTCTATTATTTGTAATAATTAATAATGCTTTGCTACACACGAAGGATATTATAAGAATTCAATCGAAATAAATCAGCTATAACGGAAATATATTGAGGACAACGGCCTTTGAATAAACTTCGAAAGATACTTTTTCCTGAGGAAAATGTTTTGCTATTATATTTAATGTTTGACCATAAAATTAATTATCCATAAAATTTATTACGCACTTAAACAATAAAATATTAGAGCTGCATTGCTACATAATGTGATGAAATATGTATATATGTAATTAAATATAAGATGCATTTTTAACGCAATTCTTGCTCTGAATATTTTTATGTTTTTTATCTATATTTTCCAACAAATTTCGTTTAGCATCATAATATGATAATTAGTAAATATAGTGTATCAAGTATCAAGAAGCTTAGACCTTGTCATGTCCTGACAATGAGATGTATGCATAATCTGTGCGATAGATAGCGGCTTACCTTGACTTAGATCCTATATTATTATCTATAATACAAAAACATAATAAAAAGGTCAATGAAGGCCAATCGAGGTCATTTCATTCATTTGAAATTTTCGATTTAATTAGACTACCTATGTCAGTATATGAAGACTCATGATGCTGTGACTGTCAATCTCACGATAAAAATGCATAAAATATGCATATACTAGAGTGTTTTTGCATTTCGACTTTATTAAATATTTTATTTGATTTTATTGTAATATGTGATAGAAAATAAAATTAAAGTGATATATGTCGCTACATAAATTTACATAGATTTTTAAGATTAATATCACAGAATTTGCAACTGCGGGAAGTTATGCTGTCTTTTAAAGTTGAATACAAATTATTGAATAAAATTAACATTTATGACAGTTCAGTGACACTTGCTATTTATAAAATAAATTTTTATCCTTTCCTCCATTGCGTTTACTTTCATAGAAAATATAACATATTGTAAAAACGCGTGACTAACAATTAAATAAAGCGATCTAAATCCAATTTTTCAAGATATTGCAATCTTAAATAATACATATTGAAAAGATTTATAGAACAATTATAATTCAATTTAAAATACAAAAGTGGTGTGCGCGGCGTATATTCCAAATTGCTCCATAATTTAATGGTCACAATTATTGTTATATTATATTATTATTTACCATTATTATATATTATATAGCAGATTGAATTAGTAAATTTTCACATTATAAGTTAGAGATTACTTACTCTTAAACTGTTGTAGCGCGATCACAGATTTCATGGCTGCGACCCAATTTCTTTTGTTTTATCGCAAGTTTTCCTTCTCTTGGGAAAGTTACTTTGGGAAAGTTATCTTGTTGAGAATTCTGAAATGAATGTAGAATCATCCCATTACATAAATCAAGAATATGCATAATTCATTACACAAATTACATAAATCACGAATATGAATAATTAATAAACCGAGGTCAATACATATCAATTATATGCGAGAATGCTATGTCAAATTAATTAAATCATATTCAGTGAGATATTCATCAAAAATTTCTTTTTTGGATCAGTACATAAGCAATTATCTTGAGCGCGAGAGAAAGAGGAAGAGAGAGAAAAAGAGAGCGAAAAGAGAGAGAAGACTATTAAATCAGCTATTCAATTTATTTTACATGTTTTTCTTTTAATTAAATATACAATCGAAGAAAAATAGCTAATTATAAATACTATATTTTTATTATTATGAAATCTCATATCTTTGTTAATAATTTATTTTCACCAATATATATTTAAAATTAAAAATTTGGAGGAACCAATTTGGCTCATTATACATGAGCATATGACCGCGCAGTACTATATTTGTTCGTACAATCGATTCATACAAGTAAATTTAAACGATATTCACGAGTTTGTCGAAGCTATTAGCACGTTGCTCATATTTGCATAACAATCACAGCTCTATTTCCTTCTCTGTATACTTCATGGACATTTTTATCTACTATTCTGTTTCTCTAGCAAGCTGACTTACCAGACGACTATGTTAGATTATGTAGATTACGCTATTTTGAAATAAATCATGGAGATATGTATCAATAATTAGTAATGTTAATATCACTATTCGTTTCAATTTACATCTGCGCTTTTTCATCTAGTAGTGATACATAGAAACATAAAACCTGTATTTAATATAATCATCTAATATTAAATACTATGTAATTTATTACACACATAATTATTTATTTTAACGACAAAATATTGATTATATGTATTAAAATTTAAAAACCATAAAAAATAAAAAATTAAAAAATAATTATTAAACCGTGTCACTCTGTGTCTATAATTTTTATTGTTAATATTTATTATATATATTGATATAAAAATTATTACAAAATAATAATCAATTCATCTATTCAACTATTCAATTTAAAAACTCTTCAATTAAGCAGCTCTTTCTCCTTCTCTCTCGCTTTTTCTTTTTTTCTCTCCTGTTTTTATAACAAACTTTCAGTAGAAAGATAATTACAAGCGTTAAAATAAACGCAATATGCTTAATCGAATTATTGCTTGTGTACAAAGTACATATTATATTTCTTATTTCTTATAATATTGAAGATTATCCACACTTGGAAGTATTGATTACAGTTATCTTCATTATATGATCACGCTTATAATCTATTAGGTAATTAATATATGAATAACCGTCATTCATAATGCGTACATTGTACACCAATTCGGTAACAAAACACGCGTAAACATTAATTCACATTAATTCACGTCATTTATTTCATGCTGAAGTTCACGATTAACAATGAAGGCTTATTTTTTTTCGTATAAGCTTTGCCGATTGAAAATATTGCTAATTATTAATCCACTGAATTTTTATTAATAATTTTTTTTCTTAAATTACACCTCAACACATATATAATAAAATATAGGTACATATATTTTTGTTTTCAAGAAGAATTATTTTTATATAATTTTTCATAAAATTTAAATTTATATATAAAAATATTCGGTATTATTTTATTTAATTGTTTATTTTGCAACTCTTAAATTATTAATTATGTTATTAACTGACAATACACACACATTGAAAAAAACAACACTGAACAATTGAATTCACACAGAACGTAAAGTATAATTCTTCCTTTGAAAGCAGTTGATTCATTCGCTTGCATTTACGTGTCATTGTACTGTCATGTATCGTTTTTCAAAAATATACATATGTGTATTAATAAACCATAAAACATGATTATTAAATGCTTTTTTTGTAACTTCTATCGCATATCTTTAATATTTTAATTTAATATTTTATCATTCTATAATGATTACAAAAACGGTGACAAGGCTATTATTACACACTTACGATAAACACGTGAACGTAACCGAACGAATCGAAACTTGTACTATTTCTAAGGAAGAATTATATATTTTACATTTCATATGATATTATGATATTATAATATAAAATATAATATAGTACAACAGATATTTCTTTTTTTGTTTTTTTGTAAGTTCCATTTTATACATATTAATAATATTTAATAATATTTATAAGTAGAATTCATTTTTAAAACTTTATAATTAATGTTAGGGAATTTTTAGTAGTTTATTTAAGTGCATTTATATTTGTAATCAATTATGTAAAGTCCATGTTTTACAAAGAGACTTCGAAGAATTTTCAAAGAACTTGTTAGAATAATAGAGTAATAGAGAAACAATTTTCAAAAATATACTCATTACTAGTTATATATAAAAATGATGTTTAAAGTTATATTGACACGATAAAGAATCGTGTCAAGATCCTGATTTGTACGTAGTCAGAGCTAGTCGGAAAAATTGCTTGAAACCTTTCGAAATTAGCTAATAAAGTTTACGTAAATGAATATGTTTATAGAAAAAAACTAATTACTATCATTAAATGCTGTTAATCTTGTCATGATCATACATGTATATCTATATAAATTATATATCTACAGATAGTATTTTTGTTCGGCCTTATAATCAATACTAATATGACTGTTTAATGAATATTCATATAATGTAGAAATCATATGTAAATTAGAACTACTCTTAAGACATGCGAGAAGATGCTAAATATGAAGACATATTGAAAATTTTGCATTCTTTTATTATTTATGACTTCCATGATGCGATTCAGACCGCAACGGATTAAATTTTCATTTATAAGAGAAATGTGAACTAATTTATAATGTCATTAAGATATATATAATAATTGTATCTAGTGTGGTTTATCACACTATAACTTACTAATAGCCTATGAGTCTAATAATTCTGTGACGACAAACATTATTTAGTTATATTTAACACATGCAAACGCGTATTTTTTATATACATTGCTTATATAAAAATTTATATTTTATTTTATAGCACATGTTAATTCTTTGTTTACATATATAAACAAAAATATAGTATAAAAATCATATAACTATTTTATATTATAATTAACTAAAATTATAATTCACAAATTTTATATAATTATAAATTTATTAATAATAACACAAAACATAAGTATTACACTTACTTGATTAGAGCAGATTTCGACTTTAAAAAATGTAAATCTAATTAAAACAGTTATGGTCAAGTAATTCACAATCAAATATTTTATCCTATAACGGATGTTTGGTTAAAGATAAAATAACGAAAAGTAAGAATTTGAAAGTTCAATGTTGTACAAGATTCGCAATCTTTGATATGATATGCTCATTCAAAGCTCGATCATTCTCTAACAAGAAATTTTATTTCTGGCAGAGGAAAAGAGATATTAAATCAGCAATATTAAATCAGAAGTATAAATAGATTTTGTGGAATATACATGTACATATATAAATTTTACAACAACAATTAGATATAAAATAATTGTGCATATATTGACTGCGATAAGATTTTTTTATTTATAAGAATAAAATGTAAAGATTTAGACTATTATATATATAATATTTGACAGATAGTATCAAATGCGAATCTTATATAATGTAAAGTTTTTACAGTTTTGTAGTTTTTATTATTAACGTTTATCTTCAAACAAACATTTATCAGACCATTTTATCATGTAACATGCGTAATCAAAAAAAACAATATGTGACGCAATTATCAACGAAAATCATATGAAGTGTATACTATTTATATACGTGAGTTTCTGTAACTATATAAATAAAAATATAATATCTCTATTTTATTTGCATTTGAAGAAACTTCTATTATGTATTTATATATCAAAATTTCAAAAAAAATTTAGTAATATATATATATATATATATATATATATGCACTGTAAAAAATATTTATAGACACAACATTGATAAATAAATTTCCATAATCAATTCTTCTAAACACTACTCAAAATATTTATTAAGTACATTATAAGATTATTAGATATTTAGTTTCCTTATTATATGTATATTTATTTCTCTTATTAATTTTATAATTAATATTTTTATAATTTAATTAAATAATTAACATATATTAAATAATTGATATTATATGAGTAAGTTTAAAAGTAAAGAAAACATGTTGATCGCGTTATAATCGATGATATAACTGCGAGATAATTTTACTATAATTACCATAGAAGATCGATAAAAAGATTTGTATAGTAACAAATAGAACATCCTCACATAAGAATATTTTAGCAAAAACAGAATTATTTAATTGATAGAAAAGTAAACATCTCATTTTTATGTAAAATATAGTCTGGATATAATAAATAATTTTACTGATTAAATTCTGTGGAAAGGTCGATCTTAAATAATTTCTGAAATATTTATAAATCTTGTTCATTAAATAGAATCTAATTGTAAGAGAATTTATGTTAAACGGTGTAAACATTCAAACGTTCGAAACATTCAAAATTTTAAGATATCGTTTATTTTACCTGTTTTATGTGCACTAATTAAACATTTTATTATTTTATGAACATTTTATGAAAAAGTTTTAATTTTTAGAGAAAGTCAAAATATAGAAATAAACTAAATTTTAAAAGTTCTGACAGTATAAAATTCTAAACGGATAGTTGTATTTATGTATTTTATAAATATTTTTAAGATTATTAACAAATTTGCATGCTCGCGCGCGCGTGTATTTTATGTGTATTATGTGTATATGTATATATATATATATATATATATATATATATATATAATTAGTTTAATTTATAACGTTTCTATATAAAGAATAGCAGAATTACGCACTTTTTGTTTATCCAAGGGATGCACCAAGGCCGTGCGAAATAGAGTTGCTACGCGACAATGGAATTGATGCTTTCGTGTTAAAGTCGAGGTTCACTTTTCTCACAATTACTTTCGTACGTTTGCGCAATAACAAACTTAATGAGGAATTAAATGAAAAAAATACA